GCACACTACTCCCAGGCAGTGTTTCCCCGTTTTGTTCCTCTTGAAGGTATAAAGGGGCACCCAAGACTGCTTTTAGTCAGTGCTTGGCGGTGCTGAGACAGTTGAGGGCCTGTAGGTGTAGCCCCAAGAAGCGCATCTCCACACACAGAGGTGCAAACGATGCCGGTGGGTTGTGGTTCCCCGCTTCTCCCCCATGTCACTCAGAGGGGCACGGGCTGGGAAAGCAGAGCACTCTTCTGGCAGCTTAATTCAACAGAGAGGATGCAGCAGTGGCTGGAATGAATTAGTCCCCATTTGTAATTTCTTGGCCTGCAGGGAGAAGAGCTGGCACCCTGGACTTTGGCACATAGAGACAGGAGTATTCCCTCCCCACATGAAGTGTGACAGCAACACTGCACGGGATGTGGAGCAGGGCAGTGCCGGCTTTTCTTCCTTTGATGGGCATGAAACACACTTTGACACGGGACAAGGGTTGGTTTATATTTTCTTCTCTTCTTTTTTCCCTTTTCTCTTATAACCTTCTTTTAGCCTCAGGTTTACTTCTTTTTTGGGTGTTTTTTTTTTCCCAAAGATGTGTTTGTCAACTGATAGGATGCACTTGCTTCTGGTAAAAGAAGCACTTTGACAATTTTCACAACACGTATAATTTGCTTAAGGACGATAATGGCTTCATCTGAGCCATGTGTCATGTAAATAAATATTCCAATAATTTTTAACATGAATATTATGTACTCCATAGATCAATGACTCCTTTGAAGCTCTTACCATTTATCCTGTAAGTTCCTATTCAGACATTTTTAAATATGTGTTATTTAGTCAACAGGCCATCTTTTCATTCAGAGATGCTGGTGTCTATGTGACAGTCTAGCATCTATATGGTGTTTAGAATATTTAAAAATCAAAATTTTTCAGTCTTTGCAGCAGGTTGAAAACATTCCTATAAAAATGCGGTAACAGGAAAGAATACTTCAAATTATTAAGACCGAAGCATACATCCATTTAGGATTATTTTTTAAAGATTTTTTTTTTTGTGTTCCCTTTTACCTTCTCCAGCAGCCCTGAAAACATGCAGGGCCAGAAGCAGATGATGTGTGGGCTGCAGTGCAGGTATTGAATCCCTGGGAGGGTTTGGGAGGGCAGCAATGCCTCAGGACTCAGAGGGGCAGCTGGACACAGTGCAACACGCCAACATTTCCCCTTGACTTCTGATGTCAGGGTCTGGGGTTCAGAGACTGGAGGGGTCCTTCCCAGCAGGAGCATCACAGCACTGGGGCAGCAATCGTGCAAAAGGCATGATTCTCCAGCTTTAACAAGGAAGCAGTTTCTTGGTTCATGTGCAGGACAGGCTCACCAAGTAGGAGTCAATATTACCAGCACTGCCTTGTGAGCTGCCCCACGGCTTCCAGCGTCACCATGGTTTTCCGGGGGGTTGTGGTGTTTTTGAGGTGTATAGAGGCTCTACGCCAGGCAGCTGCCAAAGCCAGGGGCAGATATGAAGGTGCAGTGCCCATGGAAGTTAAAGCATGAAATAGTCATCACACAGATGACTTCATGCCTTTGCAGCTAGTAGCCAGGGCAAATCCTTTCCTGTTCTCAGAGTGTGGAGGAGCACGCAGAAGTTCTATCCCCACCTCAGCAGAAAGCTGCAAGGGAAACCCAGTGAGCTCCTGGGTCCTTGCAGGAGTAGCCCATGAGATAAGAGGGTCTCTGACCTCCATGCAGGCTAATGAAGGAGGAAAACCAGGGCCAAGAAAGATAAAAGTTCATATTTAAATGCAGACATGTGCAACAATAGAGGTGGAAACATAAAAAATTGCTATCAAATTCATTTGCTTATAGTATGAAGGCTTTTGTCTCACCTTGTTTAAACAGTCCCACTCCTGTGTTTAGTTTACTTGTGTTAATATCCCCCAGAGGCTTCATCATTTGCTATTGATGAGCATACACACACACACACACACACACAAAAAAAAAGGTGGTGCTGTCCAAGCAATTAATTCTCTTTCCAAGTGCTTAAAATTCAGCATGTCCCTTCAGTTCCAAAGGTGCTAGATCTTCAAAACCAGCAAGCTGCTCACAGTCAGCTGGGAAACCCCAAGTTATTTTGGAGCACATAAAAACATTCAGTGCTGATAAATACTCATGCTGTGTTTTGCATCTTCATAATTTGGGATTCCTTTTACTTGACATATGCAATAAATAAAGCAATAAATAAAATATGCTCCCTGCATCAAGGACGTTTCTCTGTGTAAGTTGCAGCCCAGTATACAAACTCCTTCCAAACCAGCTGGTGCTACACATCTACCACGCTTCCCTATTCTAATTCAGGGACACCTTCATAAGAAGGTGACTTTGAACAATGCTCTTTTAAAACAATGATGGGAGCAGATGTGGATAAGGATTCTATTAAAAATATACAGCAGTAAAAATAGAGCACTGATTTAGCTGGAAAATGGTAAAAAATATTTCATTAGCCCTTTTTGCTGAAAAATGTTTTTACCTAAAGCGTTGGAAACTCCAGTGATTCAGCTCTTGGATCAAATGCCCACCAAAGTCTTTCCATCACCTTCAGCAGATGTCAAATGGCAAATTCACATAAATGAATGGGTACATTTAGGTCTCTGTAGTGCACTGCTTTTCATGGACCAAATCCTATTATGCTACGTCCAGGCCTCAATTGGGAGGCAGGTTTTGCCATTTTTTGCCAGTTTACCCTAGACCTATAATGTTGTCACTGGTATAAGAAGTTAGGGGTAGGCTTCAACTGAGCAGAGCAGCACCAGCACCCACAGCTTTTAACTTCTCCCACTTCTAAAACCATGACAGCTATCTGTGCAAAGACTTACAAGTGACCCATTAGCAGCAGCAGCTCCATCAGGGCACAACGGTGAAGGAAATTAATTGTGAGGCTCAGCCTGTCCCTGGCTTGGCCTTGGACTCAGTCTCATGTTAATCACAAAATTATAGAAGGGTTTGAGTTGGAAGGGACCTTAAAGATCATCTAGTTCGAACCTCTCTGCCACAGGCAGGGACATTAAACCCAGGTTGCACAATGCTCCATCTGACCTGGCTTTGAAATACCTTGAAAGTTTTAAAATTCTCTTTTCTATTGTCAGATGGGTTTTGAGATGAGTTTTGCCATGAGTTTGCCCATTTAGTGGGCAGGGTCAGATGCTCACTGCCATCAGTTGCTGGGGAAGCTTGCATCATATTTAGTTTTTATGCTGAATATAAACAAAGCTATCCATCAGTATTTAGTTGGATTTATTGAAATATTAAAATAAATGCTTATATGTTGCAGGGCAAGGTCTTCTTTATTTTGCTGTGGCAGTAGCCATATTGAAACAAATTGTATTTTGTTTTCTTTCAGACAGGTGTGATGGCACACCTGCGGAGCTCAGGCTTGAATAGCAACTCGTAACCTTTTGTGGGTAAGCTGGGGGGCAAATCCTGCTTAACAAGGATGTCAAACTGATCTTTGTTCCCTTCTCCCAACCAAGTATCTGTGGCAACAAACTGGAGACAGGTAAACAATCGGCTTCTGCTACCGCAAGCTTTCCATTTACAGTTCACCAGGAGCTCTTATTATATGAAAGGAAAGGGTGGATGTGGTGTCAACACAAGGTAATAGTAATATTATTTGAACAGGTGTGTGGGGTGTTGCTAAAGTGAGAGAACAGACAAGCTGTAGGGAGCAGTTAGTACAGGGCTGTGCATGTAATAACCAGAGCTCACCCGCGTGTATTACCATAACAATCATGAGTGGCGATGGGTTTCACAATAAGCTGGTCTGATTTACCCGGTGCATTAAACTAGTTTTGTTATTTCTCACTTCCTAACTCCCTGCTGGAAAAGAGCCCAAAAAAATAAGCACACTAAAAATTTGGTGAGCAGATCCACCGTGCATGCAGCTACAGATAGATAACCCACCAGGCCACAATTATCCCCCAGACTCCACTCCTCCACAGCAACTTTGCTGCTGATTTACGTCTTGGAAAGAGAGAAAGCAGATTAAGCATCTCAGGACTGCATTACAAAGGGATGACAGGTTTGCGGCAAGTGTTAAGGCACCGTGGAATTGGGAGAGTCGAGTACCTCAGCAGTTTTGTCTATACATCTATTCTCTGTAATGCAGTTAATTTTAATAATGTATTTCCAGTCTGTGATGTGTGTTAAATTGATATGTATCTGTGATTCGAATGTATATTCATCTCTATGTGTATAGAGTTAGATGAATATCCTTTCAGCAAGAAAACTGTGTGCCACAATAGAGAATAGAAACAGTAAAAATAATCTTTTAGATTCTGCTTTTAAGGAGATGACTGGAATCACATTGGAAAGGATTAATGTGGTAGGTACATACCTTGCTGAAATTTGCTTGCCTCCATTGTGGGAAAGTGGGAAACAAAGGGAAAAATCATACCCTGATGTGCTCTCCAAGTAGAGCTATATGCTATGATTCACTGAAGACAGCCATGGAGGTTACAAAACAGAAACTAAGAGACAATATAAATTACGTGAGGGTGTTCTAGACAATTAGACAACTCGTTGGTCCATTTACAGTGCTGCTTGTAGCTTTATATCAAATCTGATGGAAGAGTGGCAAATTTTAAGCAAGGAAATCTTTCACGCTCTCCCCTCCTTAAGCCGTACTTTGTTTAGAAATATCTTAATGCATATCCTGAGCATTTTAATAAGAAACTATTGCATGCCACTGGTTTGTGCAAACAGTAGTTGTATTATTACAGGGGATGAATTAATCTTCCAGGCGTCCATTTGTGTTACTCAGATCAGGCAGGGTTTATTTGCAAAGGGCTGACCCCGCTTCCTGGCAGGCTCGCCGGGAGGTGCCGCGCCAGATTCCCTCCAGTGGATGCAAGAGGGTTCAGCTGGCACATCCCAGGGACCGAGGGGACAGTGGCATGGCAGGGGCTGCCGCCTGAGGGAACGTGGGGCACCGTGTGCTGGGATCGACAGGCTCCTGCAGGGATTCTTTAGTGGGCATTGAAGGCTGGTAGGAAACATGAATTCTCAAGCTTGGGTCTGCATTCTTCTGGTAATGCAGATTTAGCCCAAGGTCACACAAGAAACCTTTATTTCAAGCAGCTTGCTCCGTCTTAAGGAGAATTGCTACAGCATTTCCCTGTGTACACATTTCATTAAGTAAATGCTTAATAGCAGGGTGGCTGTCATCTTAGGGCAAATATTTTAGAAATCCCTTGTTAGTCACATCAGGTGTGCTTCTTCAATATTGCAACATCTGTTATTTGTTAGATGCAAACAGAGAATGAAAATGTGTATTTGCCTTGTCCTGAGCTCTTCAAGTAATTCAGGCAACCTGCCTGAATGTGCCGGAGACAGTGCTGACAGTACAGTTATTTCAGGAGGGTAAAATTGCACCAAAACTTGAGTAGGGGGTAAACTGAAGTGTTGTATTACACTTGGGTGCCCTCTAGTTCTTTTGCAGTCCAGTGCGTACTTTAAATATACCTTGATCCTTTGAATTTCCTTTTAGAAGTAAATGCTGTGTTGCTGTTCCAGCAGAGCAAACACTGGATGGGCTCTTCACAAACATTGGTAAGTCACAGTCAGCTGAAGGGAGCGTACTCTTGATCACAAGGATCTGGCTTTCTGCAATAAAAAAAAACATTTTGATCTTTTTTTACAGGCATGATTATTTCACACTAGAAGATGCATATTTTGATTTTTGCATCACAAAAGTCTGATTCTTTGCTTTGGATTAGTTTTGCTGTTTTTTAAGCAAATACTGAAGTAATCAAAAATAACAGCCTGGTAGCATTTTAGTCGTAGTTTGAAGAATTTAATTGAATAGAGACTTTAATGGGAAGGCAATGGATTCTTAATTACCTCAGTCACAGTTTAGCACTTTGGTCATGTATGGTATTGTTCTGGGGCGCATCAGTCTGTTGGTTGGTTATTGCAGTGCAAAAGTTGGTGGCAAAGTCATTGTGGTGTGCTGCAGAAACAGCACTACAGCTGCAAAACAGCCTAAGCAAGAATCCCTTGAACATGGATATATTCATTAACATCATCAATCAATTAAGAGCTTGTTTGGGTTTGGTTTTATATATATATATAAACTCCTAAGAATATTGCATGTCTTCTAACAAATTTTATATTTCAGAATGTTCATCTATTTTGCGACTGACGATTTTCACTTGCTGACATTCTTTTACACACTTGGGAGTCGTCCCCTTCCTTTGGATCAGCCTAAGGAAAATGCTGCCCTCTCTTGAATTTGAGGACGCAGTGCACCTCCTGGCAGAGGCTGCCCGGGGAGCAGGAGGCAAAGCATTCCTGAAAGAAAGCAGGGCTGATGAGTGTTGAGAAAGGCAGCACTGGATTTTAGACTAGTAAACAGGGTTAAGGGAATTGTTTCGAAGGATGTAAATTCTCTAAGTTATAAAGTTTCTCGCTTCGGAAAGAAAATTGAAAATAAGCAAATATGCTTTTTTCCATTATGGAAATACCTTAGCCAGGAAAATGTCATTGTCTCTTGTGCCTGCATAGAGAGGAGGCCAAGTCCTGAAATTCTTTGGACTACTTTTACTTAAATTTAAGTTATTTCTTTGACTGCTCCAATTATGAGTTTTGCTGAATGCCCATCTAGCTCTTGCAGTCAAAGGAAAACTTATTTTCTGCTAGGCCTTCTCTGAAGGAGGGAGGATGTGACTGGCTGCCACTGGTACTCTGCACCAGAAAAGAATCACTTGGGGTCACTCTAGTGTATGACAACACCCAAAGCTTTCCCACTGGTATGGAAACACTGATGTGCTGCTTGTAGAAACCAACATGTCGCTGCCTTGAACAGCTTGGTCAGGAGACGTGTCTCCTGGAGGGAGGATATTTCTCTAGCTGTTTCTCCTCTTCTCTGACAAGCATGGATAGGACGTACTTTTAGTGTGTCTTCCTTCAAGGAGGGATTATAAAGGAGATCTTGTGGGAAAATCTATTCTGGAGTGGCTTCTGCCTCCATTTCTTCAATAGAGGCAAAAAAATCAAACTAAAAGCTCTCCCCTTCTCCCATCGACACCCCTGCTTGTAGAAAGATGTGTACTTTTCTGCTGCAAGCAAGGGGTGAAAAGGACCATGACATCATGTGTAGGAGGGATTGCCTAGAAAGTAGTCCTACAGCCAGCCAGCATCCCTAGGAGGGAGGATGTGCAGGTTTTGGTTCGTATTAACTCCAAAGATGCCAGTGCATGCATGAGAACCAAGTTTCCTGGACATCAGATACTGCATAAGAGGAAGGTGAAGCAGGGCGTGCATTGTGGAAGACAAGGAGTAAAACATACATGCACATCTAAACCCATGGTCTTTTTTTTTTTACTGTTCTTATTTAGTAGGTTTTTTCTGAACATACAGCTCCCCACCCAGCCCTCTTACAGTTCTCAGAAGCTAAAAGACAAGTAGGCAGCAAGGAGCAATATGCAGGGGAAATGATTGGCTAACAATAGCTGTGAATATTAGTTAGTTACATGCTTTGTGCAAAAGGACATACATCTTTATATTTACCTCACTTTTCTGCACCTACAGTTATCTTGCGTTAGTTTTTACACAAATGTGAGGGTGATTAATCCCAAGTGTAATCTGAAAAAGGATAGACAGAAGGAGACTGGGCATATATATGTCACTTGCACTGTATACTACCTCATTGATATTAAATATGAGACAAAGTAATCAAAATAAACAATACAGTATTGTGTCAATTGCAACTCAGGCAGTAACAAAATATGGCCACATTTTTTCTTACAAAGCTGGCTGTGTGGTGGCTGGAAAGACCCCTAAAGCATATAAAGCTCTTATCTTCATACATTTCCCTAAAGAATAATAGATCAGTCGGTGCTCTGATGCTGTTTTAATAATGTACAATTTACAATTCATTTGGTTACCAAGCACTCACAGTATAATTAATTTCACAGACCCTTTCTACATATTGGCATGCTTTATGACAGTATAGAGGGAAGATGGGAAAACTCTGTTCCCCCTGCTGTCACAGGAGAGTGCCTGGATGATGTGTCACCTGGCTGGTCTCACAGCAGTCCTGCCTTTGTAGGGGTGAGAGGGCTTGATTTCCCCTTTCTTTCTGTACCAGCTCCCACCTCCCTTTCCGATCTCCCTACATTGCCACCTTGATGGAGGATGTTGCCTTGGGGATGAGCCAGGCTCATCCTGCAGCTCCCCAGTAGCACTGAGCCAGATCTGCCCCATCCTTTGAGTCGCAGCAGGCCCTGAGATCTGCTGCAAGTGCTGGGGCAAAAGCTAAGGTGAACCAAGGGGAAGACTCAAGGACGAAAGGCAGGTGACAAGCCTTCAGTTCCTCTCAGCAGTGCCTCCCTTCACCCTGGCAGCTGGGGACAAGAGAGCCTGTCAGGAGTACATACAGGCATTGCTTCAGTCAGGAGTGACTGTCCATCTGAACTGTCAGTGCACAAGCCCAAGCCTAATATAATTTAACAGAATCAAGGCAGAAAAAACAGAGGGAATGGCTCCAGAAGTGGGCAGAATACATATTGTTGGGGGCTTTGTTTCCAAAGTCCTGATATTTTTCCCTTTATGGGGAATCTGTACAGTTGCCTGAGAGACTTAAACAATGGACTGTCTCTGCAGTGAATGAAGCTGCTGTTCTGTGATGTCTTGCACATCAAAGCAATTTTTTTGAATCTGCATTTACCTCTTTGATAAAGACAACACTGTGAGGAATTCAGCAACTACAGAGAACCTGCGGGTCTGCACATCTACCCAGAGCTTGCTTTCACAGCAGTGTATGAGCTGCTGTTGAAGTGAAGGTTCTGTTTCCATTATCAAATAAACAGCGGTTTCCTTTTCTGAATTTCCCAAACATTATTTTCTTGTTTGAAGTTCTTGATTCCTATAGATGCACATTGTATGTATACTCATACATGGATACTCATGTATATGTGGGTATATACATATATAGACACACACATATATATATGGTTCTGTTAGGTATGTATATACATATATGCCTGAGGATAGAGGTCACAGTTTGTGAAGGCTGAACACTCAATCCTGGATATAAACACACAAGTACTCACACAGAAGTGAAGCTTAAAGCTAGGTTTACTAATTTTCTACTATTACAGTTGCAGTTTCTAACTTTTTTTCTTAGATGTTCAAAAGCTGGTTTCTTTGAGGGACTGAGGAGCATTGTAAGCCACAGCCCTAAAAGTTTGATTAACCCCTATGGGACCTGTGTGGTTTTCACAAGACATTAACTTTAAGAGGTATATCTCTTGCACTCTGTCTGCAGCTGGCTACTCAATCCTAATGATTTGGTTTCCTAATCTCTTGAACAAAAATATGGTGAGGCAGAGACCATGAGACACTGCTTTTGCATCTGGGAGTTGGCAGCCAATTTGCCGACATATTGATAACCTGCTGCTCTTATTTTTTACAGTTATAGAAACTTGACTCTTCAGGTGAATCAGAGCATATCTATAAAGTGAAACCAAAAAAGGTTATTAAGGAAATCATGTACATATGTATAAAACACCAGCAATTATTATTATTATCATCATCAATTGCTCTTAGTCACAATATAATCACAGTTTAAAGTTTGTGTGGTTAATGTATCAAAACAGGGCTTAAAATTTCTCCTTTGCAGTCAGGTTTACAGAGGGTTTAAACCATTGCTCCTGTGGTATGAGAGGGCTGATTGGGTCCTATCCCCCCAGGAGAGTGTTGGTCTCATTTCTTCCTGAGAGAAAACACTCAGGAAAACCTGATGCACTCCTGAGATGTGGGAAGTAGCAAACCTGGAATACTTTGCTTTTAACCTTTGAATATCAAAGAGTTAAAATCTAGATATCTATCCAGGTGAATATTTTCAAACCTATGGTTTTGGAATGGATGAATATCTGTGCAATTATCTATTATCTGCTTTTTTACCTGTTTCATTTCTTTCCCGTACGATATGCCTCTTAGCATAATTTCTATTTTTCAGTTTAAAAATATTTTGTTTTGACTTGATATTGCTCAAGAAATAAATGCAACTGTGTTCATAAAATTCCTGCAAGCACTAACCTGGTTGCAAGACAAAACTCTCTACTTTGAATTTCCAGGTCTGTATCCAGCAACGAGAAGGAAAAAAAAAAAAAGAAAGAAAAAAAAAAAGGAGCATAGCATTGCAAGGAAGTACTACTTGCTTTATTTTGGCTTCTTTTTCACTAATGAAATCAAAGAAAAATTTCTCAGACATGAAAGTAAAATTGACAATGTTTAAACCCACAATGGCTTAACAGCATTTCAGAAGTTATAGGGCTTATGAGAAATAGACAGAAATATATTTTAAAGTTAGATCACCTATTTCCTTTGGAAAAAAATAATCTGGCGATCAAATCTGAACAACAGCTAAACCAATTATCTTTCTTTTATGACCACTTGGGGAAGAAGGAGTCTTTAATTGTTTCTTAGTCCATATTAAATATGAGTTGGAACCAAGAGGGCCTTTGCAGCAGAAAGAAAGCCAAGGGGCCAGGCTGGTGTCTGTGTCATCAGTGTCACAGTTCTGTGGTACACCTTCCCTCTAATTC